TTTTTTCCAACTAACGAGACACGCACGGAACGCAAAGGCCCGTGAAGTGAGGGGCCTGCAGATCGCACATGACGCTGACTGTGCGAGCCGCACACTCCCTCAGCAGCCAATCACAGCATCGCTACGGTTCCATCGGCACATTCTAGGGGCGCCAGCACCGGGAGCGAAACCGCCCTCTCCCGGGAGACCGTCTCCGTTACGACAGCCTTGCGGCCCGCTGAGACGAAGCAGGACCACTCCTGCAGCCCAGTGCTAACCTGCCTTCCTCTTTCTGGTCTGCAACAGTGGACCAGAAATGGGTCACTAGGAGTGGATCGAGGAGACTTCTGTTTTCTGCCCAGGTTGTAGTCCCCATTTGCACGGTGCTTTTCACCTTCCCACACAGGTGCTTTTGGGGGCCCATCCCCAGTTTTCAGTGCTCCAAACCTGTTGGGTATTGGGGTGGGCGGGTGTGTCTGCATTAGAAAAGACACGTTCTCGTGCTGTTGCTTCAGAGAGATTTCATCCCGCGTAGCCTAAAACTGGAGATCTGACTGGTAAACCTTCTCGGACCCATGGGGGAAGCTGAGACAGAGCAGTTGTGATTAGTCAGAGCATCGGAGAGGTTTCATCCCGTGTAGCTCTGGGATGGATTCCCTAGGGAAGTGGTGGAATCTCCATCCCTAGACCAATGGTGAAAGCCGCAAAGGGGACAGCTGAAAAGGAAGGGATGTCTCCACATGTAGGAGATCACAAATACCCAACAGGTTCCTATGGAGAAAGGCTGTTCACAGTAGTGACAGATGGGAGAACAAGGAGCAATGGTCTCAAGTTACAGAGGGGAAGTCTAGGTTGGAGATTAGGAAAAACTATTTCCCTAGGCTGGTGGGGAAGCTCTGGGATGGGTTCCCTAGGGAAGTGGTGGAATCTCCATCCCTAGAGGTGTTCAAGTCTCAGTGTTACAAAGCCCCAGCTGGGTTGATTTAGTCGGGATTGGTCCTGCCTTGGGCGGGGGCTGGACTTGACCTTCTGAGGTCTCTTCCAGCTCTGTGAGTCTCTGATCTGCTTAACCCTCTTGGTAAACCACTGACCCTAAAGCGACTGACGTTAGATTGAGCATGACCTGGCACTGATGAGCAGGAAGGGAGGTTTGGGGGCACGGGCACAGTTTGGAGAGGGACAGTGGTGGTTACCCACCAAACAGCAAGCCTCAGGTAGGCACGAAATTCTTCCCCCACCCCCAATGCACAGCCACCTGGTGCATCCCCTTCCCCCCAGCAGAGCAGTGAGATTACACTGATGGTTTGGGATAGAGCCAGGGCCATAAGGGACAAAAGTGACGGTGATCAGAAGATGAAGCAACTCAGTGAGACGTGGGCACGGCTTCGCGGTGCCAGGAATTCTTTGATTTCCCCTTGCGTTGCCTAGGCGAGGTGGCAGAAGTGAGCACTCGGAAGGGATTTAAACCAGGCAAGTGACGTGCTGGGCCAGCAGGCTCTGGGCGGGGAGGTGCCAGGCAGAAGGGGCAGCATGGAAGAAAGGGAGGAGGCACAGAGACTGGCATAAAATCAGAGAGACTGGGAGGGAACCTGAATGGAGACCAGAGTTCAGGGCAGGGGCGATGGGGGGAGAACCTGGATGGCGACACTTGTGAATTTGCTCCGTGGAACATGTTGATCCAACCAGGCAGAGCAGGTGTCACGGCGATGCAATGGGCTAGAGAGATGGTCCCGGCAGAAGCAGTTTGGATTGACTAGAGAGGAGTCAGGTTCACCACATGCTTAGAACTGGATCTGTTGTATGAGGGAGGTAAACCCAGCATAAGCTGCATCTGTCAGCCGGAACTCTCTGGTCCGGCAACATCCGTGGTCTGGACGAGCTTCGGATGTTCCAGGATCAGAGCGTCCGGGCGCTGCAGGAAGTGGAGGGGCCAGGAGCCCAGTGCAATGTCGGGGGTGGGGGAGTGACAGCAGGGCAGGGGGCGGGAAGCAGGAGGCCTAGGGCGCAGCTCAGCTGGGCTGTGGGGGAGAGCCAGGAAGCCCAGTGGGAGGGGCAGCAGCCAGCAGCAGGGGCCAGAAATGACCTCCCCTGGTCCGGAAAAATCCCTCCTCCAGGACCAGTCAGGTCCCAAGGGTGATCCAAACTACTAAAGTTCGGCAGAACAGTGTGGTAGTGATAAGAGAGATGGACGCAGTGTTAGCTGGAACTCGGTGTCGAAGAGACACTGACCAGGTCAGTTCTAAGTTAAAAGCTCCTTTGCCGTATGTTAAACCTGTAGATTATTAACCCTGAAAAACGTCCACCGTCTCATTTCCTTCCTGTCACTGATACTTCCTTGTGTTTTGCACCTCGCGTGCTCAGGACAGTGACGCTGGACCCGTTGGTTTCACAGCAAATCATTGTCACTTGTGAACGCTCGGGCATTAGCACAAGATGGTTGTCATTGGGTTCAGTTGGTTTCACAGCAAATCATTGTCCCATGTGAACACTCGGGCATTAGCACAAGATGGTTGTCATTGGGTTCACAATTATCCGGGACACCATCCATGTAAGACTTTCACATCTGTATGAACGTTGCAAATAACACCTTGGATGCTGCGAAATGAATCAGGCGGGTGGTATTTTTCTCTCCTCTGTCAGTTTGTTTGCCAGGTGCCTTTGTGTAGGGCTCTGCCATGTAGACAGACAGCTTCCCATATTGGTGTGTGACACCGCACTAGCAGGAGAGAAAAGACATGTACAAAAAATAGGAAAATGTGGGTGTAACATCACCGGGCTTGGCAGGAGGACTTAACTACCCCTAACTAGGTGTGTACAATCGACTAGACTTTATGTAGTTGATGTAACTTTAGCTTAAGAAAACTGGACATGGGAAGGAAAGGCTGGGAGGGGCCTCTTTGGATCCACTCCCTTGCTATCGCAGTCAGCTGCCTAAAATAGTGATCGTAACTTTCCCTTTTAGTTGCACCTTCCATCAGCTCGGGACTCGAGGCATCTTATAAACATTCGTTAATTCAGTCTCACAATGCCTGGGGAAATGTATACAGTAATAAAAACATTTCTATTTGGACTAGGTTTTGTGTCTCTCCTTGTTCTTATTAACGGCTTCTAAACTCTGGATTTAAACTGAGTTGACCGGGTCCGTCTGTGAAGGAGAAAGCAGGGCAGTCCCTTTGTGATTAAAGAGAAAGAGCCACCCAGTAAAAGGAGCGGTGTGTCTTGGACTCGCCACCGGGCAGTGTTCCGGTTAGTGAAGGGGTATTAGAGTCTGGATTGCATCACACTTGCACTAGTGGAAAATGCCACAAAAGTTGCTGGGAATATTTTTTTATAACCGTTCTATTGGTGAATATTGAGCATCTAGACCGGGGTGGTCCAGATCCGCTCCACCAGGGATAGCCCCTGGCAGGCCGCCATCACTGTATTTACCTGCGCCTCTGCAGGGACGGGCGACTAAAGCTCCTCTTGGCTGGAGATTGCTGCTCCCAACAAATGTGAGCTGTGGGGAAGCATTGTACCAGTCCCCACCGCTTCCTGTAGCTCCCATTGGCCAGGGCTGCTGCAGCAGTCGCCAGTACCAGCTGAGATGCAGGTAAATATAGCGGCGGCGGCCCCCCAGGAGCCAACTCTGTTGACCACCTCTGACCTAGACAAATCCCCATTGTTCTTCCATGCTCCGTGCAGGAAGCGGGATGGGGTGAGCAAGTTCTCGTCCGCATTCGGAAGTAGCAAAATGGAGCTTGTCCTCATACACCAAAGAGGGGATCAGGGTTTCGTTCTGTTCCATCAGTTGCAGCTTTAAGTCCTACAAGATGCTTCACTCCTATTGAATCATTGGAGAAGCTCAGCACCAGTGTTCCCTGGAAGCTGGGCGCTTGGGCGGCCACTCCGGAGAGATTGAAATGCCACCCAGCTGATTAACAGAGCGCCCCCGGCTAGGTTTTTGTTTATACTGGTGGTGCACATTCACACATGCCTCAGTGCAAATTTATTCCACACATGGATGGAAAAAAATCAGAGGGAATATTGCTCAGCCCCTCGCAGGATCATGCCCTGGAGTGCTAGCCAGCCCAAAGCAGGAGATAGGAAAGGATGTTTCGTGCATTCCCTGTGACTTCTTTCCTGTCCCAGGCATTAGTTCGTGCTTTTCTCTTCTCTTGGGGAAATGCTGAGGGCTAGATCAGTTATGGTGAGCCTCTTTTCCAGTCCCCAGGAGCGGAGAGACGGGACTGCTACGTGTAGCTGAACCATTCTGCTCACTGCAGGGCCAACAGCTCTTATCTCTCTCCTTCCCTCTGTATCGTTCATTGCGTCATAGACCTTACAGCTGGAAAAGCCCTCTTAGGTCCTGGCTAGTTCATGCCCACCCGGAGGCCAGTGCAAAAATGTTCCATCCTGGCATTTTTCCCTGTCTAATTTTAAATATCCTGAGCTGTGGGGCTTCCACCCCATTCCCTGGAAGACTTTGCCAGGCCTTGTAGCTTTCACTGTTAAATGTTTACTGATAATCTGAATTTCCACGTGTCCAGCCCTGTTCCTTTACTCCTAGTCCAGCCCCCAGGTCGCTCTCTATTGAATTCCTTCTCCGCGCTTCACGTTTGCATCTTTCAGAGGCTGCCGGCGGCTCACAGGAAATGCATTTTAGACACTAAAGGCTGAGAACCCACAAGGCAGCTGCTGGATGTGCCAAGAGACGTAATGCTGCTCTGTCGCATAACCTCGTGTCCTGCTGCATGGACAGACTTGGGCAGATTATGGGCCTGATCCGATTCCTAGTAAAGACGTTTGGGGGTTGGTTTGGGCCACAAGGGCACTTGCCCCACCCCTGCCTCTGTGCGACCGGTAATCTGAGGACAGGTGCTGCCACCCACTCCCAGTGTCATACTGAATTCTGCCTGAGCACCTTGAATTCACAGGCTCTTAGCTGGGAGTTTGGCCAAGCAGCTCTCTCTCTAAGATGAGTCCAGCCAGGCCACTGCATTCACCAAGGTTGTATTATTTGAACCTCCCCCCCCTTCCAGGTTTAGCAGCGTGTTCCCCAGCCTGAACATGGCAGTGAAGAGGCGTGAGCAGACACTGCAAGACTACAAACGGCTGCAGAGCAAGGTAGAAAAATACGAAGAGAAGGAGAAGACCGGCCCCATCCTGGCCAAGCTACACCAGGTACAGAGCTGGGAGACAGGCGCTCGCTTCTGGGATTGCAAAGCTCTGGAGAGACTCAGGGCACTACAATTTCTGGTACAAATGTTTCACCCTGACGTGCAAAGTATTGTGGAAGGGTGTAAGCACCGAGGTATTTGGCACAGTCAAGGGAGGGGGTAACTGGAAGTAGTTGGATGAAATTAATACAGAAAATCTAGGCGTTGAAGGTCTGTTAAGCTACGGCATAGACACACATGATGGGAACGCCATTTAAAACTGAACAGGGGAAATCTCTTGTAAATGTGCACTGAGATACAACCCGACATCAGCAGGGAAATGAATGGAATGATCTTCTGTCTTTCAGTTTCTTAGATCTGTGTCTAAATTCCCTACAATATAGGCTGACTTATTCAGCATTTCAGGGCAATATGAAATTGACATGCGCAAATCCAGGTAAATGAAAAACACTCGGTGTAAGAAGAGACAATTTCCTTTCCAAATGAAAATCCACAAGAACTGGAGGGACCCGTAAGAGCAGCCCCTCATTAGGAGACAGCAGTCCCCTGAATTTCCTGGCCGGGTTGATTTAGTTGGGATTGGTCCTGCCTAGAGCAGGGGCTTGGACTTGATGACCTTCTGAGGTCCAGCTCTATGGTTCTATGAATTTCAGAATTTGACTAAATAGCTATTTTAAAAAATCGTTCACATTCTGCACATTTGCAGATACAAATCTGAGTCTGACAAAATGGCAGTTCCAAGTTCTCTTGAAACCTCCTCAACTCTTCTTGTGTCTTTCAGAAATTTGAGCAAAATTGGGGGGGGGGGATTCAAAGGAAACCTTCCCAGCAACCCCAACCAAATGGGTCATTTCCACAAACCATTGTGCGTAAAACCTCTCACAGCATAGACACACATGATGGGAACGCCATTTAAAACTGAACAGGGGAAATCTCTTGTAAATGTGCACTGAGATACAACCCGACAACAGCAGGGAAATGAATGGAATGATCTTCTGTCTTTCAGTTTCTTAGATCTGTGTCTAAATTCCCTACAATATAGGCTGACTTATTCAGCATTTCAGGGCAATATGAAATTGACATGCGCAAATCCAGGTAAATGAAAAACACTCGGTGTAAGAAGAGACAATTTCCTTTCCAAATGAAAATCCACAAGAACTGGAGGGACCCGTAAGAGCAGCCCCTCATTAGGAGACAGCAGTCCCCTGAATTTCCTGGCCGGGTTGATTTAGTTGGGATTGGTCCTGCCTAGAGCAGGGGCTTGGACTTGATGACCTTCTGAGGTCCAGCTCTATGGTTCTATGAATTTCAGAATTTGACTAAATAGCTATTTTAAAAAATCGTTCACATTCTGCACATTTGCAGATACAAATCTGAGTCTGACAAAATGGCAGTTCCAAGTTCTCTTGAAACCTCCTCAACTCTTCTTGTGTCTTTCAGAAATTTGAGCAAAATTGGGGGGGGGGGATTCAAAGGAAACCTTCCCAGCAACCCCAACCAAATGGGTCATTTCCACAAACCATTGTGCGTAAAACCTCTCAGGAATATTCGCCTTCCTCAGAGCCCACACGCTTTTGATCACTTTCCCCACGAAATTAAGTATTGCGTTAAAGAACAGCCCGATCAGCATTAACAAAAGAGAATTCAGGCTTCCTAGTAAGCAGCTTATGCTGCTCAACCCCAGTGACTAAAGCTATGGCTGGAAAAATGTGAGTTCTTTTGTCCGGGTGATTAAGTTGGTTTTATTTTTTTTCCCTAATGAACTTCTGGGATGAGCTCATTTTTCCCCATGAAAATCTGAAATCAATTCTCAAAGCCTTGGCCACCGGGGGTAGCCAGAGCTGCTGTCAGAGAGGACCTAATCGACGCTATTCAAGAGACAATCCGGATATGTGGTAGGGGGTTTGCTTAGTCTCTGTGTGTATTCCCACCCAGCCTAAAATACACATCGGACCTTTTAGAGCCCTCAATTTTTGGATGCAGGAAGCTTCCTGAATTAACACCCCTTTCCCCTCCCCTCCCGGGAGCTGGAATGCAGCCTCCATTTGAGCAACTTGATTGGTGTCAGACAATGAATTTGCCCCTTTCAAGCCTGGTAATTTTAAGACCTCGCTAGCCGGAAGTTATGCCTGTGCTGTATCTCTAGCATGCCGTCCCAACAACGGCCCGGAACCTGTCTTAACACCAATCTGACCGTGGGATTAGACCCTGCCGGAGCAGGACCCGCATGTGGAATCTCGCTGCTAGCCCGCCCCCCTCCCTTTGGAATGGCACCAGGATTAAGTGGCAGACTTGAACATGTCTAATGTTTCAATGCCCACCCCCTGCTGCCCTTTTCCACCCCTCCTCAGAGACATTTCCCTTTCTCCCCACGCGTCTGTTTAAAGAGCACCAAGAGGACTGACCCAGTGGAAGGTCACAGGCAAAGTGCAAAGGCCGGAGAGCTCCCCCTGAGGGTGACCCGGCAAATCCTTGGAGGGAACAGGGTTAAGGGCGCAAACCCTGAGGATAGGCAGAGGACCGTCGGCAGCAGCGCTAGCAGGCCCAAGAACGCCGCCCCGGTGTGGAGTCTCCCCTACTCTCTTCTTCAGGCAGCTTAGTGAGGTTGCTTTGCTGGCCTGATGGCGCCTCTCTGAAGACGCCGTCTGGGCACAGGCATGAGCCCCTGGTATCGCAAGGGCTATGGAGTGTTTCACGGTGACCCGGCGTCCTAATGAAACATCATCTGACCTCAGGGCTGCACCCACCGGTTAAATAGCAGGACTTGCGTCCTGGGGCAGCAGGCTAGAGGCTCTTGCCCTGTTCGGTTTCAGAGCCCAGACCCTTTTAGGGGCCCCGTGTAGAGCATTCATGTCTCGTTATGCCTCTCCCAGCAGGCCAGCTGCACCCTGCTCTCCCCAGAACAGAAGCTGTGTCTCACATTTGTAGCCTGACCCCGGTGAGACTCGTGGCGTTTGGTGCCACGCCCTGAGTCGACTTGTGCACGTGGCAGACCGAGGAACCTGCCGTCGTGGCGTTAGAGTCCAGTGACCCTCGGAGACGGTGGCGCGCCAGCTTCCCCGGCCTGGGGCTCTCTTTGTGGGCAGAAGTCAGGCATGGAGACAGCTGCCCTGCCCATCCCCCCTCGTAATGTCTCCTGACTGAGGTGGCGAGTTGTCCAGGGGCCGGAGTATGACCAGCCAGTGCTCAGGGCCGGCCTTTGGAAGG